ATTACCCTGTTAATTTATTATTACCAAATATAGATGCATAGTATCTACCTAATTAGCTTACATATTATACTTTTGCATTCTTCTTATATGCAGTATGATTTATTAGGACTGATTTAACGCTAAAACTAATCATTGAGATGGACTTAACATCTCCGGAATTCAATTCAATGTAACTTAGAAAAAGTTATATATCGCGAAGTAACGATAAACATTTGTCACTAGATGGGTCAAAAGAGGAAATCAAATTGGTCTGAAATTGTGCAGTATAGAAATATAACATGCTAAATACTAACTTGTTAGAATTACGAAGGAACTACTTGTTCAAAAAAAAAAAAATTACGATGGAACTGGAGTCTGGAGAACATAAACTTTATAATGATTTACGGACATGATTAATAGCTAAACTATATCTCAATAAAACATATTGTTAAACACTGATTAATTAATAAGTAGCCGATGAAATCTTGCCAAACATAATAGATTTTTGATAGAAAGCGACACATCAACAATATTAACACAAACTATTAGATTATATATCATAGTCTTTGTAGTGTTTACTATAAACCAAATATCTCTTTGCAAAAAATCCAAAAAATAATTTGGCATTTATATTATAAAAAGGGAAAATTGCAAATATACTATTTTTATGTGCACATTTGCAAAAATGCTACTTATGGGTGTTCATTTGCAAAAATGTCATTAATTATGGATTTTTAAACCCTATGACTCATAAACCCCCCCTAAACCCTCGTAACTAAACTCTAATAGAACATAATTAACCCATAATATAAAAAAAAAATAATTTTGAAAAGTGGCATTTTTGTAAAGATTTCAAAAGTTTGACATTTTTGTAAAGTGGCACTTGAAAAGTTGCATTTTTATAATTTCTCTTATAAAATTACGCAAATTCCATTTTGATTGTCATAAATATAATCTCGATGATTAATTTCATATTTGCTTTTTAAAATTAATTATAAAATGAAATTCACTTTGCGAGTGTCTTTTCATTATATTGTACTTGAAACACATACATACTAGGCCTAATACTATGGTTATGAGTGTTTACAGTGTTTCCAATAAACACTATGTGGTTTGAAAAAGATGTCGTCATTCGAGGTAAATTTTTTGCTTTTCTGTTTAAAAAAAAAAAAAATCACAAAACACATCACGCTTACCAATGCGTGCATTATTGAAGCAAAATGAGAAAACACACTTGACAAGCAAAAAG